TGAGGGGGGCTGCGGTGCCCCACACCGTGGGGAGGGGAGAGGAAGGGAGAACAGATAAGGGAGTAACCGAGGCACTGTCTCCGCCCGCCGCAGGAAGCGTTTTGGACCAGAGCCTGGAGAGCCTGCTGCACCGCCTGCGCGGCCTGTGCGACAACATGGAGCCGGAGACCTTTCTGGACCACGAGATGGTGTTCCAAAGCCAGCCCCTTCGTGCTGCGGGCGCGGCGGTCCATGGACAAAAGCGGGATGCCCTGGCATCTGCGCTACCTGGGCCAGCCAGAAATAGGCGACAAGAACCGCCATGCACTGGTGCGCAACTGTGTAGATATTGCTACTTCAGACAACCTGACGGACTTCCTGGTGGAGATGGGCTTCCGCATGGACCACGAGTTTGTGGCCAAAGGGCACGTGTTCCGCAAAGGCATCATGAAGATCGTGGTGTACAAGATCTTCCGCATTCTGGTGCCAGGAAACACGGAGAGCATTGAGCCGCTCTCCCTCTCCTACCTGGTGGAGCTCAGTGTGGTTGCGCCAGCAGGACAGGATGTCGTTTCTGATGACATGAGGAACTTTGCCGAGCAACTAAAGCCTCTAGTACACCTGGAAAAAATTGACCCCAAAAGACTAATGTGATTGAAAAGGCATTGGTTTTGTTAGTGTTCCTGAAGGTGTTTTTCTAAAATGCCTTTTACGGACAAATCAAAACAGGGAGATAGGAATAAAGGACTATGTATCAGTGTTTTGTCAACTGCAGTTACTGAGTGCTTTTTCCTTCACTTGAGGGTGCAAACAGAAATGGACACTTTAATGCCATTCAGAACATCAATAAATGCTAATACTGGTACTTGTCCTTCGCTTATTGGGGAGATATCTGTTAGGCAGTATATTTTCTAACAATCCAAAAATGTCAGACTTACTGGTATTCATCCTTCTGTGTACCCACATACCAGTGTTGCTTGCTTGCTTTTTTTTTTTAAAGCACCATTCATGTATACTACCCCGTCATCCTTTTTTCTTTTAAATAATATGTGAAGTTCATATCCTTTAATGCAGGGGGTGGTGTTTAACACAAGCATAGACCTGGGAACTACACAGTATAAAAGCAAGTGTACACCTGTTTACAATAGAATAGTAAATAATAGAATGTGTGACAGGAACAGCTAGGACACAAGATACTGCAGCGAAACTGTTTCTGACATAACCAAAGTTAGAATTGGAAAACAATTAAGCAGTATTACAACTGATGAGGTTTCAAATGTTATGATGCTGTTCCATCTTCTTCACTGAAGGTGGGTACAGGAGTCTTAGCTAATGAGAAAGCAGTAAATTACCTGTGTGTTTTTTAGTATTAGACTTCTCACACCTGACAGCAATAATTAAGAACATCATACTGCTGCTAACTGAACCAGTGATGATTTTGGTTAGCACCTCTCGATCATAGGATGGTTAGTTAACCCTCCCTATATTTCAATGATATTTGAATTAGGTTTAAGAGTTTTCAAATACAGTTCAAAAAAAAAAAGGTTGGGAAAAACAAGAAGCTTATTTAAATTTCTCAAGTTCTTTACAGAAGGCAACCATTTTACCCAGTACTAAAATGGCACCAGCCTCTGTCAGAGACATTGCCACCCTTTAGCACCACACAAGTCATAAACAACTAAAGGCAAAGACCACTCCCACAAAAAGCCTCGAAAAAAGCCTTTTACCTTAACAGCTACATTGTCAACACTGGAGTTTGGACAAGATAGGCTATGACAACCGGATTAGTGCTCACCAAGTGCAGTGTTTCAAGCATTTCACTGATGCAGGGTGTACATAAGGGGTGTGGGGACAACTGAGTACTTGACTGCCAGCTGGAGAACGCCATTATGTTGAATGCATAACAATTTTCCAGCAGGGCACAAGCAGCTGGGCTGGAAATATTTTCTGGAAGGTATGGACACACAATTCTTTAGTTCATACTCAGCCATGACCCGCCTCATCAGACAGCACACTTTCCTGGGTCTGGGAATTCTTTAGGATACTGTTACAGGGCCATAACTTGCGGGGGGTGAGGGGTAGGTCCCCGAGCTCTGCCCATAGCAGGAAGCTGAGCTTGCTGGCTTGCTCCTCCAGCCAGCTGCAGTCCCACGCCACTGGGTGGGAATCCTCAGGGTTGTTGTCATATCCTGCCACCATAACACTGGTTAGGAATTGCTTGCCACAGTCTCACATGGATTGTCTCTCATGACACGAAATTTTAGAAAGAAGGCCAATAGATCAGAAAAGTTGAACATTGTATGCCAGCTTTTGAAAGGGTCCATAGTTTTAACTATGAAGACACACAGAAAGCAGTAAGTATGCAGGTCCTTCCCATTGCGTCCGAAAGGAATTCGCTTGGTAATTTACCTTCCAACCATCTTTCTAAGTGGAGGGGCCAACACACCACAGAAGTTTTACATGGATGTAGTGGTGCTAGAGAGGAAAATCCCATATGGCATTTCAGGCACGAGACTGAATGGAAAGTTCCTGTTTGAAGTTTTCATACTTTAGATGACAACAGGTCTGACAATTGCTTGGTCTAAGTCCTCAACAATAAAAGTAATAATTTAAAATAGTTCTTTTTAAGGAGAATTATTTTAAACCTTAAAAATTGTAGCAATTCATGTCACCAGTCTCCCTCATTCTAGCTGCAATGCATGCATAGAAGAGGCAAGTGTGCAGAGAAAAAAGCTTACTGCATCAATCGTTACAGCTGAAGAAAAATGGACACTTCAGGCACCTAATGCTCAAAAAGTGTATCCCTTATATTTAATGAAATACCTTTCTTTCCTCCTATGAAACTTAGCTTTTATAGCTAGAGACTAAAGATAATAACAATAAAATTAGTAATACACACTGGTAAATTGCATGGCATAATCCCAACTAATTCATTATCTAGGGTCAAATTATATTGTAGTTATACAGGCAGCTACAGAAATGCTCAATCTCTCCTTACTGGAAAGTAATATTTTTTTTAAATTACACACATAACATATGGGACCAAGAATGTGACTATTCTTTTTATTTGGGGGGATTTCTTTTTGCCAGCTAAAGCAGCTGCATTCTGCAAGGGCAGGGCTTACCTCAGGACTCACCTCAGGACTCTATTTGTTGCAATGTATTACCCACCCTAAGCTCAGATGCATCAGGCCACATTGTTTTCTTTTTGTGCAAGTAATGCCTTCTATTATTTCAACAATGGCTGTTCCTCCAGTCTTGCATTCTTGTAAGGTTTCTACAATTTTACTGATTACCATATAAAAAGTAGAAATCCCTGCATAGCAGCTAAAGGTAGGATTGTTCCTGATTCATCAGGCTCTAGCTATTTCTGCTATTATGAAAGCTTTGCTCTACAGAAGCTCATCTCAGTTCTCCACACTTTAGAAAAAGCCACAAGTTTATACTCTGGCACTCTTCAGCCCTGGATCTCTATTATTGCCATGGAAAGTTCCATAATGTAGTTAATTCCGTAGAAATGAAGGCAAGAGCTGAAACACTTTGGAAGTGCTCTATATTAAGACTATACTGTACAGGAAGATCTTTTAACATGCCTCTGATAGACTGGCACAAAATGAGCTTTTTGATATATAAACTAATGTGGCATTCAAGTTTTCATCTCAGTAACCTCTGTAATACAAGCAAACTGCTTTCCTGTTAAGTGTTTTCTGTACATTATAATACTGTATATAGCTTTATACATGATGTAAAAGTTGGTTAAAAGGTAAAAGCATTTTAAATAAGTTTCTCCAAAGCACTGACAGTTAAGAATAACTACAAACCAGGATTTTTCTTCATAATTTTTAATACTTTTCACTTTTAAATACTGGTTTCAAATTTTTGATTGCAACATGGAAGAGCCAACTGCTTTTAATTTTTAAACTTATGATTAGGACCATAAAGCTACTATAGAACAGTTACACTCTACACACTCAAAGTACTCAAAAATATGGTTCATGTTTTAAGTCTGTAGATGAACAGTGGCAATTCAAATACAGCATTATCTGTACAACTTGACAAAAATACAGGTGGACAATCTGATTAAAGAGAATCTGCACAACTTCAGATAAGCCA